TATTCTTATTGTGTTTTTTAATTTATAGACATAAATGAATTTTAATATATCTTATAAAAAAATATAAATTGATGTTTTTTTTTTTTAAAAAAAAAAAAAAAATTATTAAATTTAATAAAATTTTTGTTTTTTTTTATTTATTTTAATTTTAATGCTTAAAATCATAATTAAATTTATTCATAAATTTTTTTGTATTATTTTAAAAGTATATTAAAATATATATTTAATTTATTTTAAAAAATTCTTATATTTTTTTAAATATTATTTATAATATATATATGTATTTAAAATAAATTATTTATATTAATATATAAAATATATTTAATATTTTATTTTTTTTCATAAAAAAATTAGTAATATAAATTATTAACAAATTTAAACAAAAAATTTATTTTGATGATAATATTTAGTACTTTTTTTCAAAAAAATAAATATTATTAAAATATAAATACTACTATATAAAATAGTACTATATTAATAATATATATATATATATATATATATATATATATATATATATATATATATATATATATATATGAATATTAATAAATGCAAGAAAATAAATTAAATAATTAATATATAAAAAAACAAAACATAATATTTAATAAAAATAAAAAAGTTAAAAATTAAAAAAATGACAGAACCTAATTAAAATACTGAGATTTAATAATTATAAAATCATAATGATTAAGCCTAAAATTAACCAAATTAAAAATCAGCTTAATTAAATATAGAAGAATAAAAAGAATAATATTTATAAGGACCTACATCTTTTTTAGATTGGATTTTAATAATTTTACTAATCTGTATAACTAATGGAATATGGATTTTGCTCTTGTTTGGATATACCTCATGGGGAGTAACTAACAGTGATACATAACATTAAGATTACCTAAATATGTGTTACTTTAACTTTGCACTTTTTCTTTTTTATATCCTTGTTGGAATAATTATTTGGGTCACCTAATTTAACAAAAGAGAGTAAATGCGTTAAGAATTACTAGATAAGATGCTAAAAATAAAAGAATAATTGCATTGAAATTATTTATTGGTAAATATATGATTCATTATTAGATTATATATATATATTAATATTCATATATAGATATATATATATATATTTATCTTTTTTATGTAAAAGAAGTTATAAAATTAATTTTTATTTCTAATTTTTATTATATGATTAAGAAAAATTAAATTGTATTTGATAATTTTTTATTTATGAGATTATTTATCTTATATTTTACTTACTTTATTTATATAATAAATTTTTAATAATAAAAGTAGTGGAAATATTATGGAAATAAATAACATAATTTTTTTTTCATAGTTTAAACTTAAATTATTTAGAAACTTTAAATAATAATTATTTTGAAAATAATTAACTTATTTTTGTTTAAATTTTTATATTTATTTCTGTCTTTTTACTTATATTGTATTAGAAAAACAAAAATAAAACAAAAATCAATTTGATTTATATTTTTTTAGGAATTTAAATGTTCAAAAAAAATAAAATAAAAATATTTAAATATAAATTAAAAAACATTAAATTTTTTTTAAATTGATATATTTAAATTAATTTGAAAAAAAAAAAAAAATTAAATAAAACTGCTTCAAGTTGATTAAAATTATATAAATAGAATTTTAATCGATTTACTTAATAAATAAACATATATATTATTAAGAGTTTTAAAAAAAAAAAATAATAAAATTAAAAAATATTATTTAAAAAAAAAAAAAATTGAAGAAAATAATATAAAATTCATATATATAAATTATATATATAAACATTATATATTAAAAATTTTAATGTCAAAAGTACATTTTACTATAAAAAATACAATCGAATATACAATCCCATCTATTAATAATTTAGATGAATATTTAAAAGACCGTTTAAAATCTTAAACAAATGAATTTGGACCTGCAGACATTTGCATATTATATAAATAAGGCATTTCATATAATTTTATATAAAAATAAATATAAGTGATATAAGTTCATTTTGTATATGGGTTAAATTTAACAACACCTGCAAATATATCAGCTTATATAACATAATTAATATAGTAATAAGAATAAAAAGACCATAATATATATAGAGTTTAATTTTGTATTTTTGATATTTTTACTAATATTGATATTTATATAGAGATTTAAATGCCGGGAGGGATGAAAATATATGGATTGAATGAAAAACTAATCTATTTAAATATTGATGATTTTATATGGTAAAAAGGAATTGCTAGTTCTGGATTAAGATATATGTATATGGATAGAATAATTATTGGAAAATGTTTAGACGAATTGGATTCTAACATTGATTATTTAAAAGAGTTTTTTAAGATATTAACAGAACTTGCAGCTTAATAAATAGATATAGTTTCATTGAATTAAAGAAAAAAGTTATAAAATGATTTAATATTTGAATATAATGGAAATAAGGCTTTATACTATGCTTTAGAATATATAATAAAAAAAGAATGTTTTAATCCTGTAGTTGAAGTATTTTAAAATTTATAAAATAATAGTTTTATTGCTTTACATTTAAATAAATTATATAGATCTTTTAAAAAAACATGTATATTTATATCTTATATATAAAAATATATATAAATAAATGTAAAATAAATATAAATATATAAATATATAATTATATAAATTTAAATATATATATATATATATATATTATTATATATATTTAATTTTAAATACAAATAATATAATATAATTTATATTATTTTATATTTTATTATTATATATATTTTTTTCTATAATATTTAATTTATTATATACTTAATTTTATTAAATATTATAAGTTTATATATTTTTTATATATTTCTTTTTTTATATATATTTTTATTTGTTTATTTTCATTTAATTTATATTATTTTTTTAAACACAATTTAATAAATCATAAATTTATATTTTCTATTTTATTTTCATTAAATAATATGATATTTTTTTAAATTTATATTTATATAATATTTATTTTTAAAAGAATGTCTTAAAATTATTGCTCATTATTTAGAAAAAGAACCATTATCACCTATTTTATTATATAATTAAAGTTTGAATTTTTTTAAATTTAAAAAATATGATTTTGCCTTATTTTTATGTTAGAATTTTTTACATTTTTGTCATGAAAGTTTTTATGGATGGATTCTTATGGGAGAAATATACTTTTATTAAAAACAATATGAATTTTCATTAATTGCACTTAATTATGCTAGTTAATTTATTTATTATTAAAATGAAAATTTTTAATAGAAGAAAAATTAAAATGATTTTTTTATTTAAAATAATTAATAAATACAAGAATTTATTAGTCATCCTAAAAATTAAGGGAATATAGAACATTTCCCTGATGTTTATATAATATAAAAAGGGCGGGAAATAATTGGATAAAAGAACTTATAATAAAATAAAAATTTATAACTAGAAAATAATAATTGTAATAATATATAAGAAATTGAAAAATTGAAAAAACTTAAAGACTTAAATGAAAAATAAATGAGAATCTATGAAATTTTAAGATAAATTTATTATGAAATTGATAAAAATAAAATTATTTAAATTAAAAATGATTTGTTTATATAAAAATAAGAATTTCAATAAAATAATGAGAAAAATATAATTGATAATTTGAATAAAATGGAGTTTTGGGAAAAAAATATTACAAAATTAGAAAATAAAAACTAAGAAAATCAATAGGAAGATGATTATTCAGATGAAAATGATGAAATTCCTGCTTTTTTAAAAAATGAATAAAACAATCTTTCGAATATTTAAGATATTTAAATATAAAAAAATATTTAAAGAAAATTACATATTATTAATTTAAAACTTGCCTAAAGAAAATAAAAAAATAACTCCATTACTGAATTATCTGAAGATACTATTGAATCAGATTCTAAAGCCAATTATTAGAAAGAAAGAAAATCTTTTATAAATAAAAGAAATATGGTTTAAGGTTTCAAAATTATTTGGGAAGCATTTTTTAGTGATTTGAGTTATATAGAAGATTGGGAAAAAGAAGAAGTCGAAAGACAGGGACTTTTGTAAAAATAATTATAAATAAAGTAAAAATAAGGAAATTCTTTAGATGAAATGGAAATATAAAATAAATTAAAATAATTTTAATATAATTAAGATGTTTGGCTTTTGAGGGCTAAATTAGGTTTGAGATTAAAAAATGAGTATTTAGCTGAAAAAGCTTTGAAGGAAATTGTTAGGAAAAGTTTTTGTTTTTGGGGTTGGGAGAAAATATTTGAAATTTAGAAAAAAAATAAGGAAAATTTAGTTATTATTTTGGAAGAATTTGTTGATGACTTAAATTATTTTGGAATAAAAAATATTAATAAAATTCCAGTTTGGTTGGAGAGAAACATTTCATGTTTATAAGATTTTAAAGGTTTTAATTAGAAAATAGAAAAAATTATTTAGAAAATATAAAAAATTGGTAAAATGTTTTATTTTGAAGAGTAAAAATTTAATAAAAATTAAAATATTAATAATTTATTAGAAATTAACAAAGAGTTAAAGGGATAAAATTAGAATATTTTTAATTGAATATTTTTTTAATATACATTTTGTTTTTTTTTGTTTTTTTTTTTTATATTCTAATTTTTTTGTTTTTTTTTGTTTTTTTTCTTTTGTATTTTTTTATACATTTAATTTTTTTGTTTTTTTTTTTTTTTAATTTTTTTATTTAATTGAGAAAAATTTAGATTTTTTTTTTTTTTTTTTTTTTTCATATTAATGTATATATATATTATATATTAAAAAAATAAATAAAAATATTAATAAAAAAATTAATAATAAAATATATTATTTAAAAAAAAAATAAAAAAATGATAAACTCTAATTCCTAAAGGCAATAATAAAACTAAAATTAAGAAAATGTAAATGGCTATTTAGGTATAAAAATACAAAAATTCTTCAGATATTTTTAATAAAAATATAAATGAATAATTTAAATTAAAAAAAAAAAAAAGTACCATTATTGACAAAATAATTATCAATGAATACTATATAATAAAAAGTAAAAAATTAAATAATTATATTTTAAAAATAAATTAAATTAAAATAAAAAAGTAAAATGCAGAAAATAGTTAGGAACGCTTACCTGATTTGTATATGAAGAAGTTAAAAATACTAGTAAATTTATAAAACAATAGATAAAGTTATCCTTTATAAACAAACTTAAAATAAGGAACAAATAAACCAATATTTATGCCACATTCAATATGGGATAAAATATTAAAAGAAGTCTATTGGCGATCTATTGATTTCAAAGAAGAAAATAAAATAAAATTAGCAATATGTTTTAATATCTCAAAAAAAATGAAGAAAACAGTTGATAAAAAATATATACTAAAGGATCAATTGTAGTATTATCATAAATTAATAGGAATATAATTTTCGTCAGATTTAGATATATAGATATAATAATAGAGAAATGATAAATAAAATAAATTAAATGAGTATTTCAATAATTTAATTCAAGCTAATTAGCCATTTTTTACAACTGAATAAGTTTAGTATAGTAATTTTAGAGATAATTAAAGGAAATAAGATATTCTTAACAAATTAAAAGTAAAAAAAAAAATGGAGAATATTTACATAAAATTATATATATATATAAATATATTTAAATAAAAATAAATATATATATATATATAATATATAAATATTATATATATATATTTATATGTATATTTATGTGTTTTTAATAAAAATATAAAGGATTTAATTTTGAAATTTGGTGGGAAAAAAAAAGAAAAGAATCTGTTTGAAAATTTGTTTATTTTATAAAATTAAATTAAAACAAATAAAGAAGAAATAAATGAAAATATAACATAAGAAGAAACTGAAAATAAATAAGTATCTAAAAATATTAGTTGCTTTATTACAGATATATCTATTTGTTCTTAAATTTAAATAGAAAATTAAAGAAAAAGAAAAAAAAAAGAAGATAATTTGAAAGTTAGTCTAAATGAAAATTTTATTAATAAAATAAAGTAACTAAATCCAAAAGTAGATATTAAAAAAATAAAATATGAAAATTTAAATGAACTCTTATATTTTTATTATGATAAAAATATTTTTGAAGATAATACTGAATTTTAAAAAATCTTTGAAAAAACAGTTAAATATATATATATATATATATATATATATATATATATATATATATATATATATATATATATATTTATATCTATATATATATTTTATATATTAAAATATATATATAATATAGATTTAAAGTTAGGCTGATTTTCCTAAAAAAATTGAAAGAATACCTTTTCCTTAGTTATCTTATGATTAAAATAAAATAGAATTAAAATGCTAAGAATTTTATGATTAATAAGATGAATTATTTCATTATACAAATTATATTTATTTTTAAAAATAAATATAAAAAATGATTAGAAATATGTATAAAAATATATTATTTTATATATATAATATATTATATAATATATATATATATATATATATATATATATATATATATATTTTATTTATTATATAAAATATAGTCATTTAATATATAGTTCAAATAATTATTCCTAAGAAAATATTATAAATAATAATATTAATAGTAATAATAGTAATATTCTTTATTTAAGTGATTTACTTAAATATAATAAAATTTAATTAAATGATAAAAGTGTATACGTTTAGTAAATATATAGTGATAAATAAATGAGATAAATATAGTTTTTTACAAAATTTGAGGAAAACTAACTCCATGAATCTGAAAAATATGATATATTGAAAGAAATAATGAACCATTTTATTTATATTTTTTTCTTTGAATATTATTAATCTATTTGGGGAAATAAATTTTAATTAATTGCAAAAAGTTTAAATTCTAATCATTTAACTAAATGTAAAAATCTATTTATTTTATTTATATACAATGCTATTTTATATTAGCTTATTTTTATAATGAAAAAATTGTCGAGAAAATAGATATTAATATAAAAATTAAAAAAAATTAAATTATTCATATGTAAGAAGATTTAATTCCAACAAATTATCTATTTACTTAAAAAGAAAATGAAATGGAAACTGAAGATATTAGTTTTTAACAAGAAAAAGAAGAAGAAGAAGAAGAGGATGATTAATATTCAGAAAATTTTGTGGAGGAAACGGAAGATTATAATGATATTTCAGAATTAGAATTTGAAAAATAAGTAAAAGCATAAGAAATGAGAGATGAAGGGTAAAAATAAAGTAAAAAAAAATGTAAAATTACAGAAATGTTTAACACATATGCAAAAAGAAACAAAAGTTTTTTCGAAAATAATATTCCAAATAATTTATTTAATTAAAATATAGCTAATTTAATAGAAAAAGTAAAAAAAGGATAAATTATTAATGCTTATTAGGAAGGAAATGATAAAATTAAGGATTATAACTAATATAGTAAGATTGTTGATGCTAATAATATTAGAAAATTAATTAATGATTTTAAAAAAAATATTAATAATAATTGTTATTTCCCAAATAAATTAAGAAAAAGATAAAAAAGTAAAAATAAAAACAATTATTATATATTAATTATAGTTAAAAAAAAAAATTAAGTCGAAATAATAAGTAAAGATTAATTAAATGATTTAGAATTGAAATTAATAATATAAAAATATTTAAAAGTATATATAATATTAGATATATAAATATATATATATATATATATATATATTAATATTTAAATATATATGATATTTTACTTATTTATTTACTTTATTTTTTTAAATAGGATAAATTAGCTAAAAAACAAATGAGTTAATAAGAAAACGAACATTAAAGAAATATACCTTAAATAAATAATATGTAAATTCCTACTATTTAAATTAGAAATTAACAAAAAATAAATCTAACAAAATATCCATAATAAGAATAAATGATAATAGAATAAAATAATAAAAAGTTATAATAATAAATTCATAATAATCAGATAATAAAATAATAATAATTATAATAGTAATAATAATAACAATAACAATAATAATAATAATTATAATAATAATAATAATAACAATAATTATAATAATAATAATAATAATAATTATAATAGCAATAGCAATAGCAATAACAATAACAATAGCAATAGTAATAGCAGCATCAATAGCAATAGCAATAGCAATAGCAATAACAATAATAATAGCCATAATAATATATCCATTAAAAATTACAATAACCTCCATAATTATAATTAAACTAATAACCTTCATAATTAATTTTTTCACAATAATATTAATAACCTCCAATTTAATAAACTTAAATTCAATAAGCTTTTATTGAATAATCTCCATAAATACGATAATAATAACTGAAATAGTCTTAAATTTTATAAACACCATAATAATAATAACCTTAAATATTATAATCATAAATATAATAACCAAGTATCTTACAATAATAAACTTAAATTTAATAGTAAGTTTAACCATAATAAAATACAATTGTATAAAATTAGTAAATACCAATTCCATAATAATAAATGAACTAATTAAGCTAATAAATTCCTACAATAATAAAAAAAAAAATAGAATCAAAAAATTAATAGATTAAATAAGAAGAGTAGTAACAATTTGATTAAGAAAGTCAAAATTTAGCATAAACTATTCCTAATTAAATGTAATTTTTTTTAATTATATTAAAAAATTAGAATATATATTAATATATATTTATTATAAGGATTCAAGATTAAAAATAATAAGATATATTTAATAAAATACAATAATAGTAAACTAATAAAAGTATATAACATTAGACAATAATTCCTCATGAATTTTAATAAGAATAATAATATATATAACAATAATAGTAATATTATTTAAAATAAAAAAAATAATAATAATAATTAGAAAGTTAACAATAAGATTTCACTAATAAATAATTTGATTATAATACAGAAAATATGAACTTTTAATAATATAATTAATATAATAAAATAAATCCATAAATTTAATAATCATTATAATAAGAATATACATAGTAATAATAAAAAATATAATAGGCAATGCCTTTAACATAATAATAATAAATATAATAATAATAATAATAATAATAATAATAATAATAATAATAATAATAATAAATGTAATAACAGTTAAATTATTATAATTAAAAATAGTTCCCTCATTAAAACTTTCCATAAGGAAATTAAAAATAATTAAATCCACAATAATAATAATTAAACTATTAGTAATAAATACAATATAAATAATACGATAATAATTTAGCTGTAAGCAATATATAAAGTTAAAAAAATATTATTAATATTCATTAATAAAATCTAATTAAATAAAATAATATAGGAAATAATAGTAATTAATAGTTTTAAAATAAAATAAATGTTTAATAAAATCAGTCTTTTAAAGAATAAAATATTATAAATTGCCCTCCTAATAATTATTAAACATTATAAACAAGTTAAAATTAATTAAATTCTTCTTAAATTAATCAAATTCAATAAAATAATAATTATTTTTAAAATGATATATATCATAACGAACAAAATATGAATTAATAAAATCAATAAAATATATAATTTACAGGAAGTGGATCTTAAATAAAATAATATTAAAACTAATAATAGTAATATTAAATATAAATGTAAAAAAATAAAAATTATTAATATGGGTTTCAAGATTAATAGATAAATAATAACAATAGTATTAATAATAACAATAGTGTTAATAATAGCAATAGTATTAATAATAATAATAATAATAATAATAATAAATAATAATAATAATAATAATCATAATATTAATAATATCAATAACAATAATATAA